CTTATTAGGAGGTATGATGGAGGATACAAGTGAACAGCCTGATGAAGAGATGCCTTGGGCGAGGTCTGAAAGGATCTAGAGCACAGGAGCTTCTGTCCCTGCGGAGTTGGGGTGCATCACCCTCCTGGTGTGGGTGTGTTTGCCAGCCTGGAAGCTCTCCAGACCCTGTACTGTTGGGATTTTATGGAGGCTGCCTCACATAGGCATGATCAATTAACTCCATTTCCACTCCCTTCCCCTCTAGAGAATGGGGACAGAGCTGAAAATTCCAAGCTCCTAATCATGGTTTGGTCTTTCTGGTGACCAGCCCCCATTTAGGACCCCACCCAGCAACGCCTCATTAGAACAAAAATGTTCCTAGTGCACTTATCACTTAAAAAATTATAAGGGTTTTAGGAGCTCTCTGCCAGGAACTGGTGGCAGAGATGAATATATGTATCTTCTATTATCTCACAACCCTTGAACAGGAACTTATCTCCTAGTGGAATTCATGGGTAGACTGTATGAGTTTTGAACAAACTTATGTAACCGCTCTGCCTGAGTTGCCTTATCTGTGAAACGGAGCATGGGTTGTAGAGAAAATTAAGTGAGTTCATAGATGTAGAGTGCTTAGAACAGTACTTCAGAAACACTCAATGCATGTTAGCTGCTGTTATGATTATTAGTATATGTGTTTTAAACTTGACTCAGTATCGCCAAGGTGGTTGTATCAATTTCTGTTCCCACCGACAGAACATGGGAGTTCCTGTTTTCTCTATTCTTAACTAACTTTTGATCCTGTCTGTTAAATTTCTGCCAGGCAGATGTGTGTTTTGGTTTCTCACTCTAATCTGTGCGTACTTGATTATTAGGTTGAGCATCTCTTCATGTTTATTGGCCACTCAGGTTTCCCTTTCTGTGAATCGCCTATATGTAGCTTTGGCCTGTTTTTCTGTTGGGTGTTTTGTCTTTTTCTTACTGATTTGTACGGATTATGTGCACATACACATACACAGTCGACCCTTAAACAATACAGGTTTGAACTGAGCAGGTCCACTTACACACAGTATTTTTTCAGTCAATATTGTACAGTACTATAAAATGTATTTTCTCTTCCTTATAATTTTCTTAGAAACATTTCTGTTCTCTAGCTTACTTTATTGTAAGAATGCAGTATATAATGCATATACCATCAGAGTAAGTGTTAATCGACTGTTTATGTTATCAGTAAGGCTTCTGGTCAACAGTAGCCTGTTAGAAGTTATGTTTTTGGGGAATGTAAAGTTATTCAGGGATTTTTGACTACACAGGGGTTGGCACCCCTAACCCCATGTTCTTCAGGGTTAACTCTGTTTTTAATATTAAGCCTTTTGTTGTTAGGTATGTTACACTTAATTTCTCCTGGGCTGTGGCTTATCTTTTAATTTTATTTATGGTGTCTTTCTTGGTACAGCAGGCTTTATCGAGATATAATTCACATACTATACATTCACCCACTTAAAGAGTATAATTCTTTGGCTTTTGATATATTGCATTATTTTTTTTTTGTAAAATGTAAAAAACATACAATTTGCCGTTTTAACCATTTTTAAATGTACAATTCAGTGGCATTAATTACATTCACATTGTTGTACAGCTAGGATCAAGTACAGCAGTTTATAATTTGGATTCAGTCAAATTTACCAATCTTTATGATCGATGCATAAAACTATTCTCCTAGCCCGTATTTTCCTTGACTTTTTTTTTTCTTCTTTCTGTGCTTTAGTCTGTTTCTGAGCTGTTTGTTCTATTCATTTATTTGTCTGTTTCTACCCCCATTACCATGCTGTTTCAGTTTACTATGACAACTTTTACATAATTCTTCTTTCAAGTCTTGGCTGTTTTTGGACTTATATCATTTCATCTGGATTTTAGAATTAGTTCATCAAATTCTGCCAAATATCTTGTGATTTAAACTGGAATTCCTTAGAGAGTTTGGGATCATCTCAACACATCCTCTTTACATTTCATTTCCTCCCCTCCAGCCTCGCGTTTCTCTCAAGCTAGGCCATCAGACAGCATTTCCTATGTAAGCTACGTTGGTAGCTGGATTCAGAGCAAGAGAAAGGAGGAACGACATCCAGGCAGACCTCACAGTATTGTGGGTTCATTCAGCTCCAGACCACTGCAGTAAAGTGAAGAGTGGAATAAAGCAAGTCAAATTAATTTTTTGGTTTCCCAGTGCATATAAAAGTTATGTTTGCACTATACTGTAGGCTATTGGACTGCAGTATCACTATGTCTGAAATAGTAATGTACATACCTTAATTTAAAAGTGCTTTATTGCTAATAAATGCTAACCATCATCTGATCAGAGGTCACCAGAACATATATAATGATGAAAACATTTGAAATACTGTGAGAATTACCAAAAGGTGATGTAGAGACGTGAAGTGAGCAAAATGCTGTTGGAAAAATGGTGCTGATAAACTTGCTTAACATAGGGTTGCCACAAACCCTCAATTTGTGAGAAACTCAATACAGCAAAGCACAGAAAAACAAGGTGTGCCAGTAGGGGGATAGTAGGTCTGATAGCCCTGTCTCTTACTGAACCTAAGCTATGATTGGACACAGTACTAGAGCTTCACATACCTTGTCTAATTTTCACATAACCCTATAAAGAAACAGACTCAGAGGCAAAATACCTGTGATCCCAACTAGGTCTGTCTGGCTTAAAGCTGGTGCTGTCTATATCCTGCCGTCCACAGAGACAGTGTACAGTGGTTAAGAACAGGCTGCTGGAGCTCGATTGCTTGACAGGCTGTTCTGACTCTTACTTACTAGTAGTATGACCTTGGGCAAGCACTTCATCTGGGTATGGCTGCCTCATTTGTCAACATGAGGAAAATAGTACCTACCCTATGGAATTCTTGCAAGGATTAAGTAGGTTAATGTAAGCAAAGTGCTTAGAATAGGCCTTGTAAAGGTAAGCACTGTACAGGTGTTGCTGTTATTCTCTGTAAGCCACAGTGGCTAGAGCAGGCCTGGGGGGATGGGGGAAAGGGGGTGAAGGCAAGAACTTTCTGGGGAGCTGATCGCCTCTTCAGCACACGGCATTGGAAAGAGTGTGGACTCCGACAGGTTTAGGCTCATATCTTACCTTTTCTACAGCTCACTGTGTAATTTTGAGAGAGACTTACCCTCGGAATCTGGCCCTTCAGTGGTACAAAGGAGATAAGAAGAATCCATGCTTCTTCTCTGCCCCCTGAAAACCTTCACCACCACCCCCAGTCCCTGCCTTCTGCAGCACTTCTGGCTCCCGCCACCCTGCAGGCCCTTCCCCTTAGCCTTCCCCTGTGCGGCAAGCATCTTAAAAAATGCAGTGCCCTTCACTTCTTCCTGTTGTCTTCTTAGCTCTGTTTCCTTTTCACACAAAAAGGTGACCAACCTGTGACTGCGGCCTCAATGGTTCTTTCATCCTCAGCCATTAGGCGTCCCCACTGCAGTTCATAGGAACCTGGTCTGGCAAGATCCAAATACCTTTTTGTGCATTCACTTACTGTTTTGAAGAACCTCTGGTTGGTCACCTTCGTGAAAAGTGTGTGTGCTCAGTGCCCAGTTCTCAGCATTTGACACTGTTGACTACCCACTCCTGGAGCTTTTTCTTCCCTTGTTCTTCTAACCGTACCTTCCCTCTCCTTACATCTGTAAACCCTACCTCACCTTCAGTGCCAAGCCTGCTTTCTTAGCTTGTTGACATCCCTGTATCGATCTCTTTCACTCAGGAACTCCTTAGTACTGAGCATCTGCTATATGCCAAAGGGTCACTGCTGAAGGGGCCTAGAGTCCCTTCGGGGAGAGACAAGGAGCCACCACTCTCACATGGTAGCGTGCTAGAACAGTGACAAGACCAGTACTAATAGGAGCATCATATGAATGTTCAGAGTTCATCACATTTTTAAAAATCCATGAAACTAAACACTGAAAAGCTTTCAGGTACTTAATAAACAGATTATAGACTGTCACTCCGACTGCTGAGTCCAGCTGCTGCTTCCCTTCCCCTCAGTCCTGTCTGCTCCAGGGCGTGAGGAACTGCCATCACCTCTGATGTAGCTGCTTCCATTAGGCTTTAGTGCCTCCTACTCGGCCGAGTGGAGCATTCAGGGCCCTGCCTCTGGGTAGCTCTTCCACTCTGGCTGGGAGCTCCTGCTGCAGAAATTTGTATTCCTTTCCCTGCCAACCTGGGATAGAGAGTTCCACCCATGTTCTAATTCCTCCCTTTCCCAGAGGACTGCTCCCTTTAGGTCCAAGCATAGCTGTTGTTTGGTGCAAATGCTGCTGTGTAGGTGCAGGAACTAAGTGGAAACCAGCTACTGGGGACATCTGGGGAAGGGGTCAGTTTGGGGGCAGGGAGGAGGAAAGTAAGGGGTCCGAGAGACTGGAGAGAGTAAAAAGATGTAAATAGGTGTCTGGCATAACAGCAGTATAGCCACGATACCTACCTTTTGTCTTGAAAAATTGCATGACATACCAGAATCCTGAAAATGAGTGCCATCACAAAAATATGCTAAGTGCTCTGTGATTAAGAGGTTAGACCAGCATCCCAGTCTGAGCATGGCAAAATGAAGAGAGATGGTTGGATGAAGGCAAGGCAGAGGTGATAATTTGAGTTGAGTCTTGCAGGATGAATATGAAGCAAAGGAGGGTGAAGGAGGAGGGGTTAGAGGAGACGGCAGCATGTGCCACTGTGACCTGGAGGCGTGAGTGGGATGAAGCTCAATGCCACAGGGGAACCAATATTGATGAGTCCTTTTCCTCAATCTTAGGACTTTCTGTACCATATTAACTAGCATATCCTTGCCGCGGTAATCTGGCTGAATTATTTTTGCAAGTGAAGTCCTGTTTTCTGTATTAGAGGGCAAGCCCTGGGGTTGAGGGTTCCGGTCTTTTGTCCTTTTGAGGTCTCTTCGTGGCCTGTGCACAGGCCTGTGACTGACATCGGACATGCAGCTTGGTCACTTAGTTCTTTTTCCTTCCTGCAGCCTGGTGCAAGCAGAATATTGGCATGACCCCATAAAGGAGGACGTGTACCGCAACCACAGCATCTTCTTGGCAGATGTTAATCAGGAAAGAGTAAGCCCCCACCCCAGGCTGCCCTAGCTGTGCATTCACTTTTCTCCTCAGGGCATTGTGAACAGATCAGCAGTGGCTGTTTACCAAAAATACCTGGCAGAACCTGAGAAACAGCTGTGCTTTGGGAAGGCCGTGCTTATGAGATTCAGTTCCTTTTAGGAAGGCTGGGATTCATTTGACCTTCTTCCCTTAGGTCCTTCCCTGCTATCTTGAGAGAAGCCTTCCTAGTGGGTCCTTTTGTGGCCAGATTTTCTCAGAGGATTTACTTAGATGAGAGACTGCAGAGGGGACTGTGTGTCAGTCAGATAGGATTGTAAGAAAAGGCTGGACAAGTACATTCTGGGGAGGAAGCTGGAAAAGCCACCCATACCACAGAGAGAAATGTGGTGGCGCAGGGTCAGAGAGACCAGAGCCCTGGAAGGCTTTAATCCCCGTTGGGACTTGACGGTGATGTCCCTGAGGTACTGCTGGCCTTTCCTCCAGAGTGTCAACGAGTCCTATAAGAAAAACCTGATGGCCCTGAAGAAGTTTGTGATGGTGAAGTTCCTCAATGATTCCATTGTGGACCCTGTGGATTCTGAGGTGAGACGCTGCTCAGGTAGGGCACATCATGCCAGGAGACCAAAGGAGTAAATGGCATTAAAATACAGCTGCCTGTGGGGAAAGAGCTTCAGTCCCTTTCACCAACAGTTGTGGAGAGCAGGGTCCTTCACCTGGGGTCTGTTAATGGGACACTGAGGGTTTTAACCCCCACCGCCTGCAATTGTGTGCAAAATTATGCAGTTGCCTTAAGAAAGATAGTAACTTTTATCAGATATTTTATCCAAGACCTACAGCCCAGAAGAGGTTAGGAACCACCAGCCCAAAGCCTATAGATCCCTAAGGTTGGTATTCAAGGTCTGCCTTGACCTGGCTTTGACCTGGATTGCCAACCTAACCTCCGTTTATTACCCACCTCGTACATTCTCTGTCAAGCATGTTGTACTACTAGAAATGACCCAGAGTTGCCACGTACCTTTACTTTTACATGCCAGTGTTCATGCTTTTCAGTCTCTAGAATGCCCTTCCATGGGCTTCTCCACTTGACTAGCTCCTACTCATCCATCAAGACCAAACTCAAATGTCACTTCTTCCATCCAGGACACCATCCCTGTTCCAAGCAGAATTTGCTCCCTCTTTCATAGACTCAGCCTCTATTAGTGCCACCATCACATTAGGTCAGACCACCAGGAACTAGCAAACTCCAGGCTGCAGGCAAATCCAGCCTGACATCTGCTTTTTGTATGACCCATGAACTAAAAATGGTTTTTACATTTTTTAATAGTTGAAATAAGATCAAAAGAATATTTGATGTGAAAATTAATATGAAATTAAAATTTCAGTGTCCACAAATGTGTCCTTGGAATACAGCCATATTCATTTCTTAAACATTGCCTGGCTGTTTTTGCATTACAGTGGCACCTTGAGTAGTTGCAACCATGTGACCTTTAAAGCCTAAAATATTTTGTATCTAACCTTTACAGAAGTTTGCTGACCCCTTTGCTATAGAGTTCAGCATAAGGATTTTCAGAGGGCTGGTGCTGAATTCAATTGTAGGAAGCAGAAATTCTGAGGAATTAGAGCTCTTTGGAAAGATTCCTCAGGATCTACCCTTAAAGAGGTGACTCAAGACATACTCTATTTTTACTCCTTGCTACAGCTTTGTGTTCAATTTGTTGGTCATCTCAGCTACCAGCTGGTCTTGAGTTAGTTTGACAGTATATGTACCCTGTGTCTGACTTGACTGTATTTCTTCCTCTTCTGCAGTGGTTTGGATTTTACCGAAGTGGCCAAGCCAAGGAAACCATTCCTTTACAGGAGACCACTCTGTACACACAGGTAACTGGGGAGGAGAGAGGTGCTGCCCTTTTCAGCTCCTGGTTCTTGAAGTTCCTAAGTTCTTTGGTGATAAACCCTGTCCTGCACATCTTGGAGCAGTAGGTGTTCACGAGGCATCTGACTCATGCCTGCTAAGGGCAAGGCTTGTTAGGTTGCCAACTGTTGGACTAACATATCAGGCACTGGTTTAGAGAAATCTACGTCCTGAAGGTTGAAGGACCTGTACCTCAGTGTTTTCAAGCAAGTACAGGGGACACATCATCCCTAACTCCTTCCTTTGATAAAAAGGTTTAAAACTGGCTTCCTTTCTGGTGTGCAGTCTGCTGCAAACCCAAGAAGCAAACCCAAGAAGAGCCCCCATGCATAATGAAAACACAGAAGAGAGGGGAGGGCTGTTACCTGAAACTATTTGAATGTGTAAGGCATTTTTGAGTTCACACTGGCAAGGGGAGCTCCTCTTGCAGCAGACTGAAGAGGAACAGAGCAGTGCATCTTGCTGAGCAGTAGGTTGTTTCTCAAGCAAGGGTTGCAGCATTTCATCACCTCCAGTTCTGGGGCCTTCCATACTCTATAAAGAATTTTATGTTGGAGGTAGACTTTCCCAAAAAGGCATAAGGGCTACACCTAAACTACTTTCCTTCTACTAGAATTCTTCCTAGTAATTTCAGAGGCCAGTTGTCTCCCCTCTTGGCTTTTCTCCTGCATTTGGTGCCCCAGCTTGGGTGACATAAAAGGGAAGCTAGGGTCTGTTAAGTTTCAGAATTACAACTTAACTTCCTTATCGTGAAATTCAAACTGATGGTAGCTACAGAAGCAACATTCTGGCATCATCATAACGGCTCATCTTTCCAACCATACTTGTTCTGTAGCACCCTGACTACAAGTAATAACATTTTGAACTGCAGGATATGAAAGTGTCTGAGCTGGTTACCTAAGGGTTGGATATGTTTTTAAGTTATCTAGCTAAGGTTCTCCCATCTTTGGCTCATGCTACTAAACTGACATTTTAAGGCAGTTTTGTCTATGGCTTGCCCACCCATAGGTGGTCCTCTAGCTTTGGAACTTTTCAGAAAGTAAAGTAACAATTTCAATTGCATATACTTTTTTAATGCTTAGGAAAAAAATTGGTGAAAGGTATTTTTGGCATTGACAATACACCTAAAATTTAATACGCAGGTAAAAGACTGCACATTGGGAATAGATCTCAGCATTCTGCTTATCATTTTATTTTACTTAAAGCTTTTCATTAAACCTGTTGATTAATTATGGCCTTTCTCTGCAGGACCGCCTGGGGCTGAAGGAAATGGACAATGCAGGACAGCTAGTGTTCCTGGCAGCAGAAGGGGACCATCTTCAACTGTCTGAAGAATGGTTTTATACCCACATCATACCCTTCCTTGAGTGAAACCCTTGTAGTTTGCAGCAGAGTTCAGGGAGTCCCTCATGCTTCCATACTAGTAGGGGAGATGATTCCCTTCACACCCAAGCCTGAGCTGAGATCCAGTTTGCAACTAATCCTACTCTCTAGTCATCATCTAATATGCCCTGCTCAGATCTAAGATATGAATCTTATCTTTTGCCTCATCCTGTCACCACATAGTGTTGAATGCAAATTTAATTAGTTAATAACAATGGAGACTGCTTTACAATCCTTTGATGTGGTCAACCTGTTTTAAGAAATGGAGTCTGCTACATTCCAGTGCCACAACTGTGGCCTGGCTCACAAAGACTGAACAAACTCTATAGAGCAATGAAATAGACTAAGGGCAAACACTTTCTCAGGAAAGCCTCTCCACATTTCAAGCCAAGAGGCCAGTACCCAGGCCTGAGGCATTCACATAAATGCTCTGTTTTGGTGATTTTACCAGTGCTTGGAGAAGTATTGCTTGAAGTTTCTGCTAATTTCTTGAGCTTGCCCTCCCCTCGTTGAGTGTGTTGTCTTCTGTGTTGTCTGGGCAGTTAGACATACTCAGCTGGCCTGCCATCTTGTCTCCTGTCCCAAGTAGCAGTAAGTTAGTTAATCATAAAAGGAGGAAAAGTAGCACCCAACTGGATTGTTCAAGGTGGGGAAGTGTGCACCATGCTTAACTTACACCTGGGGCCTAGGGTGGGGATGAAGAAAAATATATAAATGGAAACGAAAGATGACACAACTGATTCTTCCCCTTCTGTCCTTGATTAACCTATTCTCTCTTACATGACTACTGAGTGGTCTGGGTTCTAGAGTCACTCTCCTGCTGGTGTTAGCAGAGAATGGGGGGTAAAAGGTGAAGAGATCAGACTTTCAAACTGACATCTCAAGAGTCTTATTTGCCACTACACTCCAAACTATTTTAGATTATTTCCAGTAGAAAAAGGATTTGCTCAAAAAACTTGGTAAATACTGCATACCCCTTTTTTCGTCTTAGAGATCAACCCACATCAGAATATATTAAGGACTCTGAGAATTTCTGCTACGGTAAAGAAAACCTTAAGCTACCACTTCCCAACTACTTGAGCATGGATATTTTAGTCACATCCTGCCCATGCTCTACCCCATGAAAACCTATCAATACTTTTTGAAAAGACTATTCTGAGAATGCTATTTTGGAGAAATGATTAGCTACTCTTGAGGAAACATCCTCTTAGTGCTGCAAAGTTTACCCTTTATGATTTTTCCTTATCTCAAGCTGCCTTTTTCAAGTAAAAGGATTTAAGGCAGGCAGTAGGGAGATGCCAAAGTAATTTTATGAGATTGTCTAAAATAAAGAGTAGTTTCTTATCCTTGGTGTCATTTTTCTTTTCAATAGTCTTACATTTCTGTACAACAAGTATCACAGGTAAATAGTAACCAAGTTTGGTATTAATTTTATTCTATTTTCTGTATAACTTTAAGTACATAAAGGTTTTTTCCACAGGCCTCAGGAAATGGGTAGAAATCACAGGACAATCTCTCTTCCCACCAAAAAAGGTTGCATATTTTGGTAAGTGTTTGTCCTAGAGGGAAAAACTGAAATTTACATTAGCAATGCTGTGCAAGATTTTCACGTAAGACCTAAAACCAGCCTGCAGTAGAGATTTTAGTCTTCTGTTCAGCTGCCTGAACAGAAGCCAAAAGCAGTTGTGCATGACGGCCAAGGAGGCAGTGAAGATGGATGACAGGCCCCTAGCATGGAAGGAGAGCATTTCCAGACTCCTTGAAATGATGTTTTTCCTGAAGTCATCTCTGTAGGAAGGGCTGGGCAAGGAGCCCAGAGCAGCCTCCTGTAACTGGCCTGGGGGCAGGGCACTGCCACAGTGGCTGATCCCAAAGCTGCTGCCTCGGGTGCAGGCAGACCCACGATGGAATGTAAAATGAGAGGACCGCCTATGGGGAATGATTTCTTGGAATGCTAGATGGCCATGCTTCAGCCTTTGGTCCAGTGCAACCCTTGCCTCACTTATCAACAGTGAAAATTTAGTCTGGATAGAAGAACCAGCTGTTATCACACCAGCTTCTGCTACCTTCATGCTCACTGTTAGAAAAGATTAACTTGTGTGAACATTCTGATCTGTTAACTCCTGGGGGACTTACTTTACTCTTCCCAAAAGACTTGGTCGAATAACCCCCAAAGGCTGAAAGCTAAAACACACCAGTCCTGGTCTCAGTTCCTTAAGAATAGACTAGCAGTCTGGTTGCGCTGCTATGGAAAAGCTGCACCTTCCTGCAGAAGATAACTGACCTGCTATCCCACCCCAAATCTCAGCCTGAGGTATATTTCAGTGAAGGCAGGTAGCTCTGCTTCTCAAAGCAGAGAAGCAGTTTAAGAGCAGAAAGGTAGAGGAAAAATCTAGAAAAGAACCGTCTTAATACAGATTTATCCCACGGTGTGAGGGAAAGGGCAAAGAATCCAGTGGCACTTCGCTTATCCAGCAATTTCTGTCACTGTAGTGACTAACTTCTGCCCATTCCATAGGGTCTTGAACTGCTCAGGGACTGGAAATTCATTCTGTGAATAAAGAAACAGGTTCAAATCCAAGGTGAAAGGTACACTGAGGTTAAATCTTAACACTGTTCTCCCAGTGCTTGCTTCCACTAAACTGAAAGTAAGTAGGCTACAGAGAGAAATGAACCCCCTCCCCAAAAGGTATGTCCACGTAATGGGGAGCACGCTGCCTTACACTACTACCTCCCCCACCAACACGGTGAAGGAGCACTGCAAGAACAAAGGCTCCAAAGCCAGACAGACAGGTTTGAATCTGTTGGCTACTCTTCGCTGAGCAGCAATGTTAAACTGTAAGGCACCCGAGAATGTGTGTGGCTCCATGGCACCAGTTCAACACAGCACTGTGACTAGATCCCATTCCTTTTTTTTAAATCCCATTCATTTTACTACCCTGAGCATCTGTCCAACTAAGCAAAGCAGAAACCACCTGCTTTTGGAGCTTTACCCAGTGGGACTACCTCACACTCCTGTGTGCTTGAGGTGTACAGAATGTCCATCAATTAGCTTTCCCCAATGTAAGAAATCTTCAGTCCTTTACTACCAAGAGATCAAGAAACTTACAAAGTCACCGCCTTCTGTAGGAATGAGGACATTCATCTCAGAAGATTTGGCACTGACTATCTCGCAATCCAGGGAGTTTTTGCTTAGGTAAATGTGGCAGCCATCTGTTTTATTGATGGAAATGGTTGGCACTTTACCCATTACCTACAGAAGAAAAAGAACACTGAGTCCCAGCATAATAGTTATGGAGAGAATAACAGTATGCTGTGGGAAAGCTTTCACTGTTTGATGTGACTGAACAACTAAATAGAAAGTTCACTGGTGCACAACAGATACTGAACACTAGAGGTGGACGGACGGGTGGTGCACAGAGCTCACTCTAAGAGCCAACTCCTCTCCTGCCGCATCCCAAGCAGCACAGCTCCGCTTACAGACCGCAGAGTCAGATTCCCACCACAGCAACACCTGTGGGTTGGCTGTGTGTGTATCTCTCTGTCTCTCTCTCTCTCTCTCAATTAATTCCTGAGGGACCAAAGGAAGGAGCCAAGATACCAAGTTACCTGAACTTTGACGTCCCCGCTATTGATTATCTCAACAATGCCCACCACATCGTCAAACACCAGACCGAGTTTCTTGCAGTTATCTAGGAGAATAAAGGAAGCATGTCAACAGTGTAACTTTAAAGAAAAGCAATACATTTAAGAATCTTTAGAATAGGGTGGGTATGGTCCCAGCCCTCGTAGGACAGAGTCTGGCTAGGACAAGAACTCACCTACTGTAATGGAGTTAATTTTGCCCTTGATTTGTAATGTTGTGTTGACACACTTATATACATAAGCCACCTGTTTCAGCATCGTGTCATCAATCACCAGGTTGGAAACATTCTCCTGATTTTCCTGTTAAAGAGATACCCCTCTTTCAGGAATCTCATCACTAAGTATACAACCACCCCCAAAACACACTCTCCCAATCTTCCATGCTTGCACTCTAAGCCAGAACCTGCACTCACTGGGCTGTGCTCCAACTACATCTCCTTCGCCATTTGTTCCCCCCGTCCTGGCACTGTTAACTCACCACTCTCCACTTCTTGCCCTCCAGTTCAAGTAGAGCAGGCTCCTTCTTCGTGACTGGTTTGGGGGATGGGCTGACTACTGGTTTGGGTGCAGAGAATGGTTTGGGGCCACTTCGTACTGGGCCACCCTGAGCCTTCAGAGCAGGGTTCTTGTGAGTCTTCATGTCATCAGATACATGTTTCAGGGCTGTAAGAACAACAGCTGACTCAACCCACCCTTTCCCACCAGGGCTCTGGACAAGGCACCAACTAACCTCTGTGAGAAGCTGAACTAAAATCCTGGACCAAAGCCTCTGAGGTGTTCTCTCTCAAGCAGTTTTGAAGAAGTGCTTTTATAATTTCTCTTCTATCCCAAGGTTAAATTATATAGTTCATTAAAAAAATAAAACATTGGGTGGGCAAAACAGGTGAAGGGAGTCAAGAAATTCAAACTTCCAGTTATAAAGTAAGTCACGGGGATGGGATGCACAGCATGGTGACTGTAGTCAATAATATTGTTGTACATACTTGAAAGCTATCTACTGTAAATCCTAAATATTAACTTTGTATGGGGACGAGTGGTATCTAGATTTATTACGGTGATCATTTCACAATGTCTACAAATATTGAATCATTATGTTGTACACTTGAAATCAGTATGTTATATGTCAATTTTAACTCAAAAAAAACTTAAAATGAAAACATATAATGCATGCATGGGTATATAAATGTACGGAAAAAGATCTGGAAAGACACATGCCAAATACATACTACAAAATATGACTGTAGTTTTTAAAGCAAAAGCAACACATGATAAAAAAAATTTGGTAAAAAAACAAACAGTACCACAGATGAACTACCACCACCCAGTCAGTGTTAGCATTTAAACTCTCCTTCTATTCTATTGATAGTTGTTTTTTATTTAGTCATAATATACATACTGTTAACAAATTTGGTTTAACCAGTTAACACTTAATAAAAATTTTCTCATGTTAACTTATAGTTTCTAAAAAAAATTTTTTTGGGGGAAAAGATTCCATAATTACCTCAGCAGGTGACACACTCCTTGCTCTTGAATATGGCCCAATCTATATATATATATACCCATAATGACTGGCCTTTTTAGCTCCACCACTCTTGTGGTTGTAATTTAAACACTAGATTTTTTTTTAAACACTGCTATGGTTCACTGTAAAAAAAGACTTAATGGCTGCCTAACAGTCCACCAAAAGGACATACCATAGTTAATCAGTTCTCCTACTGTTGGATATTGAAGTTCCACGGTAACAGGGAAAAAGCTCTGGGGAAAACGGCTGGCACCATACCTTGGTACAGTAAGGTCCTCTATATATGCCTCTTAATAGAGTCATAAGGCTATCCCCAACTATGATCACGTCACGCATTTTCAATTTCCATTTAACCAGCTTTGCAGTCCCTTTGGGCAACAGAAGTGTGACACCACAAATGAATTCTCCCTCAAACAAACCAGGGTTCCAGTGTACAGCGTTGGGTCTCTAGTTGGTAAGGTCTGGCCCAAACAACTTAGTGTACTAACTCTTGCCAAAGTTTTCACTTACCATGTGTGATGCTCTCCCCCTGGTTAATCTGCGCAAAGAGTGCTGAGCGTGAAGCAGAGTCATCTGAACCTAAACTGGTGGGGACTGCGGGGGGAGGTGGGCCTGGTGGGGGCGGGGGAGGACCCGATCCAGCAGAGGGTCCAGATGGAAATCCACTCAGTTCTTTTGCCACAGGCCCCTGGAACATTAAGTGCAAGTGAGTGAGAACCCATCCTCTCCTCTGTACCATTCCCAATAAGGTCCTGTATGTGTCCAGGGTACCTGAGGTACCCATGATTAATAATTAATGCTCCCTGCACACATCCAGCTAGGCTTTATTCTTTTTCACACTTGCCCAAGGATCCAACTCAGCTCTAATTTTCAACCTTCACATTTTTCCTTTGACCCTTAATTCCAGCTCTAAACTTAGAGTTCTAAAAAGCTTCTTAGTGTTTAACTGGTACCTTCAACTCAGCAAGTCAAAGACTGATTTCATCACCTCCTACCCCTCGCCTCTATTTCAATGAAGACATCCCCATGCAAGCTGACTATTCCATCTGCTTTGAGCCTTCCAAACCCCTCAATCTCATTAGGCATTTCTATTACCTTGGTTCTATCGCCTGCAAATTCTTTTGTACCAACCCCTAGCACCATGAGCACTTCCTTTGTCTGAGCATGAGCCCTTATC